TCGCTTAGTCGACTAGGCTGCAAGACATCCATCTCCACCTCTATTCAGTAACCTCAATATAGCTTGTGGCATGGAAAAGTGTTCAAGACGAGGAAGAAAACGAGCTGAAGTAGGGATAATTCGAAAAGAAAAGAAAACCCCAGATATTTGGGTTCACGTAATGGGCGCTATTATTGTTTCCACGCTAACTGGCGCGTTCTTCTCGCTGAGGTCACTGGGATTTATCTCTCGCAATGGTTCGCTTTGGTCATCTATAACCTATCAAAACATCTGTTAAAATATTGTTAACCCCCAGAGCTCGAGACGATCAGGCATTTTTGAGAGCAGCACTCTCGTCCGTCACTTGCTTACTGCAAGACTGGCATCTACTAACAGTCTGTTAGCGGTCCTGTTATCATGTGCAAGCTCTCCAGCTGAAGGCCACGTACTGATTCGAGTTTTGTCGCTTGCCGTTCGCCATCGCTAAGAACTTCTGGGCCCGAGATTTCTCGTTGCTTGGCACGTTCACATCGACTGCGGGCGGGACCCGCCGTAAGTATAAGGCATGCCATCGTCGGTTAGGGCTGACATCGCTTTCTCGACGCCCCCAGTGCCAATAGACCGTGTATAGAGCCGCTACTAGTATACGCTTTCTGTCAAGTACTATACTGCCGCTCCTCCGCGTATCCCTTGCGGTGGATTTCGAGTCGTAAGTGCTAATGCTTCTATGAGCCCTATGTAAGCATTTGGCGCCTCCTCGAGCAGGTCATCTTTGACCGCTATCATTGCCTTTCGTCGCCCGGGGAGATATCGTAGGTAACCTCACAAGAGTCAAGGCAGCTACATACGTCTTACAGGCATACCTGCAGGGCAAGTCGCTCTGATCATCCTGCGGTCATTCTGTCTCGAGCCTGAGATGCTGAGGCCGAACAACAATCCTGGGCATCTCCCATGTATGTTGACCTAAGAGTCTGAGACAGGCTTTCTGACCCATCTCTCCCAGACTCGCCAGCCATGGGTCTCCAGACCGAGATCGAATCTCAGCTCGTCGCTAACGCCTTGCCAATCTACGGTTTGTGCCACGGTATCTCCGGGGTTCGGAGTCTCCAGCAACTCAACCGGATCCAAGGCGCTGTGCGGGACTCTGTCCTTACCACGGCTACTGGCTTAGCAGTCAGCAATGGCCGACGCACATCGGACCCAGCATCGCGCAATGGATGTCGAAGATCTAGTTTCTGGCTTGTTTTTCTTTGTATCCCGCGCTTTTTATGCCTGTAAATGCCATGCGGTCAACTAGAATAAGTACTATACCTGATGTTAGGTTTGCAGGTAAGGTAATCATAAAGGATACTAATGACGTCTCCAACACTGCTTGCTAACGCTCACAAGTTTCAGAGCTCTGACATATTGCGAGAGCTCTGACATATTGCAAGAGCTCTGACATATTGCAAGAGCGCTGCGGGGTAGCAGCCCAAACCCGGTCATAACTGCGTCACGACATGGTGTGAGCAATGCAGAGGCTCGTTTAGCAGCCACACCGAGTCAGGCTGATGGAGGACTGTGCCGCAGGAGGCTAGCTATACGTTCGATTGGTTATTCTCGCAACTCTGGCAGTATAATAGTACCTGGTTTCTGCTTCAGCATGCTACAAAACACAACAACACCCTCACAAAACCGTAATCACTCTCCGCCATGTCTCAGCCAAAACTCTTTACACCCTTCAAGGTCGGAAACGCGGCACTGCAGCACTGCGTCGTGATGGCTCCACTGACGCGTGTCCGCGCGACCAAGACACACGTCCCGACGCCGCTCATGGCCGAGTACTACGCGCAGCGCGCGAGCACGACCGGCACGCTCCTCGTCACCGAGGCGACCTTCATCGCTGCGCAGGCCGGCGGGCTCCGCCACGTCCCCGGCATCTGGAGCGACGAGCAGGTCGCCGGCTGGAAGCGCGTACGTCTTTTCGCTCTCTCTTGCAGTTAGCCCGCGGCCCGTCGCTCACGCACACTAGGCTACAGACGCTGTCCATGCGCAGGGGTCGTACGCACACGTGCAGTTGTGGGCCCTCGGCCGCGCGGCCATCTCAGACATTCTCCAGGAGGAGGGCGGATATCCCTACATCTCTGCGTCCGACGTGCAGCTGTCGGGCAGGCGCGTCTCACCGTGCCCTTTGACGAAGGAAGGTGGGATCGCGAGGCCTCGGCTCGCGTTTACAACGGGCTGACAACCCCTCCCAGAAATCAAGGAGTACATCGCGCTCTACAGCGTAGCGGCGCGGAATGCCGTTCGCGCCGATATGTGTGCGCTGAAGCCTTTAGTTACTATTTGCAGACGACTAACCCGCTGCGCTGCGAGAAAAAAAAGTTTAACTGACAAATACATGTAAATGGAGTGTCGATAGAGAGTGCAAACCTGAAATGCTATATTTTATGCGACTCCGAAATCACCCCAGGCAACCCTCCGGCCTAAAATCAGTAAAGAAAAGCCTACCTCGTCAATAGCAAATTTTAGGTCGCTAGTAGTAGTGGAACGTCGCCGGACAATATTTTACGGCCCGGCGCGCGCTTCTCACCTGGCAGGCGCCGTATTTGAGTCTCCATGGATGCCGGACACTCCGACCAATGCTCTCCCATCCCACTTGCATCATCTTTTAGCATAAATCTTGTTGTAACTTGTTTTGAAAATCTGGGCCGAGCATGTAAGCTGATATTTGAGCATCAAGGACTTTTCAGCTCACGTTCATGCATGCCTGCCCTCCATCTCCCTTGGCTGTGCGGGCTGTGCATCGGCATGCCGTTCTAGCAGTCGATCGTGCTTCCCGCTGCCAGAGATGGCCGGTCGACCCCTACCTCTACGTCAGGTTTTGGTTAGGTTCAAACTGGTCCATACCGTCGCGATTTCCGCCGCTTGCGTCGAATGACATGCACTTCCATTGGTTCTGCGACACGGGCATCGTCGTTATTGATATATTTACCCAGGGTAACAAGGCATAATTTGCAACGAATCCTCCTGCGCGCAGCGCGTGCGCTCGTGACGCCGCGACTGATTGCTCATGCTCTGCGCCGCGTCAATCTTGTAATGCACTGGCCTCGCGCCTAACGAGCTGCTGACAGTATAACCTCTGGGATACCTGCGTACGGGCATGTCCAGCAGCTGCTCTGCAAAGCATGATCATGCGATACGTAACTTTTTCGAATGCACATTAGGATGTATATCGTCCGGGCCACCCTGCCACAGCCTTTCCGGGTAAGTTGTCTCAAGTCTTCCGAGCTGCTGAGGCTGAATCTGGAGTTAGGCGGCGATCAGGATCCTGGACGCTAGACGATCTATCAAATTACGCCAACCTGAGACATCTATGCGCTCCGGCCATGTGCTGTCGCAACGCTAACGAACTGTTCCGACTTCCGCAGGCTCATGATGGGACTGTGACATTGACTTTAATACGCAGACTGAGACGGCATCCCCCCCTCCTTGTCATCAGCACAGTTATGAAGATCCTATCGATGCATTATTGGTTTGATGCCATCTGCAAGGCAAAACACGGCCCTACCGAAGCACAGGAAGGCCAACTGCCCTCGCTTCTCGAACGGCTCCTTAACGAAGGGATGCGGGTCGGATAGCACTGGTTGCTGATTGAGTTAGACGCGTATTTTACGACGATCTACATAAATACGACGGGGGCGCCACCATCTCCGCGTTCAGCAGATACGTTCGACCTGGCCCCGACGATGTCGTCTCCGCCTTTGCTTCAACCGGTCCCCTTGCACCTCGATAGCACACTTGGTGCGTTGGTCATAGGTATGCAAGTGCCATCTCTTTCCGGATCTCGTCGTGTATACTGATTCGTCAGATAGCCGAGATTCTAGTGGCAGTGTGAGCGTTACTTATGCTATTACTGCGAGTCGGTCAAACGTTCTGATAAGCGCGCGTCGTCAGGTTGTATGGCATTGCCAGTGTGCAGGTCTATGTGTACCTATCTCATAGCCCGCGCGATAGCTCCTTTATGAAGGGAACCGTGCGTAATTTCGTGTTGCTTGCGACGGTTCGTACTCATCAATAACTTAAGATATTCTTTCTGTGGTATATTGCCTGAAACTTTCGGCTGACTGACCACAGCACTCATGCGCGCTCACAGGATCCTCGACAGCCTCCATCTCACATTTACTACACATGGCGTATATCATTATGCCGTGACAAGCTTCATGAATCCTCTCGCCTTAACGCAGTGTCCATGGTGCGCACTCCGTAGCTATACTGCGACCTTTTCTGATTCGTGTCTCTGTCGTTCAGGAGTTTCGCAGCTGACATGTTTGCGGGCGTATGTGTCATGTGCGCAAAATTCAGTTGACTATGCTGACCATTATACTCGAACCAGGACCCAATTGAAGTCATTGTAACCCTGTACGTTTTCTAAGAGAAGTGCTTCGATACCCTTTAAGTGCTATCTGATCACGGGCACGTAGCATCTTTGCACATAAAATTTACAAGCGTGCGTAGACAAACAGCTGCTCACATTCCTAGCAACTCATGAGAATGGTCAGTCAGTGGAAGTATATGGCCGCTTATATTCATAGTAAGTTATTTGATGGTCTCACTATGCCAGCATCACTCTGAGGATATTACAGGTACCACCGCAGCTCCTCAGCTGGGGTAAGTCTTGTTCAGTCTCGTCGCTGATGCTCTAAACTCACTTGTCATTCTGGCAGTCGCATCCATTGGTATGTAGCTTGATTGACGCCTACTGTGACTCTGACTTGAACCAGCCGATCAGCCGTTGCCGTACTTGAGTAAGCGTTCCGCCTAGCCTCCCTTTCTTGCTCCCGCTCATTAGCCACAGGCTCAAATTCCCGAGCTATCACGAGTTAGAACAACGATTTGCTGTGCGTTCATTGCGTTCTCGGCAATGATACTTAGGTCTGATTCGCATATGACGCGAAGTGGATTTGGTATACTGTATTCAGTCTTCAGGCCTTCTCCGATTGTGCCATCGCGGCTATACTCTGCACGATACTTATCAGGCGTCGCACGGGTTTTAAACGGTACGTCCAGTACCGTGACTTCAGTGATTAACACCAGATTTATCACTACACAGAACCGATTCACTTATTCGCACACTCGTCCTTTACAGCATCAACACGTGCGCGCTGACCAGGTAGGTTTCAACTCGCCGCCTCGCTTCAAAGCCTATAGTAATCCCCAAGCAGTTCTGTCTCTGTTGCTTCCGTCGTCACCGTAAGCACTCAAATCCTGTGCACGCCCTCGTCCAGCTAATCAGGCCCACAGTACGCTGCAATGCCCCACAACTTCATATTCATCGGCTTAGGCGTCATATTGCCAATGCGTCCGTTTAACGTTTTCCGCTAGTCCCCTGGTACTGATGTCTCGGCGCAGTAATGTCAAACTCTCTACTTGCACTACTGAATTCGCGCGACATGTTGCGCGACATGCACGCCGGCCAGGTCGCTTCCGTACACTTCTCAAGGCTCGCCAACATCCTCAGCAGCTCCGACGCACCTGACGGCAGACGAGCGGCTCACGTGCGGGCCGAAGGTGTCAAGGAGCAGGTACGTCGCCGCTGCTAGGGATTGTGCTGCTCATTCATCGTGATTTCTATGTAGGACATCATCGATATTGGAGCTCGTGTCCCCGAAACCTCGTTTGACTCGGAGTCACAGGTCTCGAGAGGGCCCGCGATCTAAGCACTGCGCAAAACGAGTCCTCATTGATATTCTACAATATTCATGCCACAACTTGCAAGTTAGGTTTTTATTATATGCACGTAATATATTGGCTCGGTCGCATTGAACGGCAGAACATATTCTCCATGATCTTGACTCGACCTACCTGCGCCGAGCCAACCGGTCTCTTACCGCTGTTCGCGTAGACACTCTGCAGGCTCGCGATACCCTAGATCGGCTGCGAATCCTGAGCGACGACAACTTATAAGCGCTCCAGCGAGGCGACGCTCCCGCTAGCCGCAAGCCGCAGACTGTTCACTACCGATGCAGTGTTAGTCATTGTGTGGCTTGAGGTGTACATCCGGCACTTTGCGCAGGACACAGAACGCATCGGGCCGCCGCTTACCGACAGGATGCGGGGACGAGCGGTGATGGCATGTAACAGGGTGAGTTGCGGTGAAGTTTGCTGAAGGTGTGGTGTTCGTCCTGTCCTCGTAGACGGCGGCTAGCATGATGCAATCCAAGGAAGTCGGGCGTCCTTGGTCGATGACGTTCTCGCTGCACTTCTGGGGCCTTTATACAGAGCGTATGCGAGGTCTCTGAACGCAAGCATACCTCTGCGGAAGCTCGAGGGGCGCGGCCATCAATGGGTTTTGCTAGGGGAAATGACATACCTCAGCTATTTGTCTGTCAACCAGATTGGTCTACAACGTTTATCAAAAAGAATATGTTCACACGCGCCTCGTCGTTAATGTATTTAGTCAAAGTTGTATTTATTAGGTAGTGTATAATCATCAGTAGGTAACAGCAGAACGTCTGTCAGGCCTGGATCATCCTCAGTCTGAGCTAGATGAGTACCTGGGCACGACGTTCGCAAGGCGTACCAGATTCGCAAAGATCCAACCAAAAATGATCAGTCGAATGTGCATAATGGTGGCCAATCTCCGCAGAGGTGCACCCGGGACTTCATTGAATTAGCGACTATTGGTCTTGTGGAATGAATGAATTCAGTTGATACCGCAGAAGACGACCAAGAATCATCATTAGATGACAGGAGGAGTGGTGAGTGATGGGAAGGGACATACCATCTGGCTCCTGCTCCAGATGTTCATATTTTTCCGGTGGAGCGTACGGTCGACTCGGCGCCATCTTTGACTTCTTCTGGCGCGACCTCTGGGTGGCGGGCAGAGCAGGCAACTGGTTATCTTTTCCGGAAGTCTGCTCTGGACACTCGTCCTCGGAATCGCGTACCGTACGTCGTCACATCTTGTTTCCGGGCATCTTGGAGGGAGAGTGAGACCTAAAGCTCTCGAGACGCGTCCGAAACCGCTCTACCGAGGCAGTTGGCACTGGAGAGTTGCAACGCTACTCATTCTCTCTTGAAGCCAATCGTTCGGGGGTCTTGGTTAAAACAGAACTGTCCAGCATCGCACTGTTTTCTCCGTAAGTTTCTCGGGCAGCTGGCAGTTTCCCCCGAGGCGAACTACCGCAAGGCCTTCCGCCATCGCTCGTGGTCGGCAAAACTGCTGCACCACTTAGTCGACGGGGCTGCAAGACACCCATCTCCACTTCCCTTCAGCGACTTCAATATACATTGTGGCATGGAGAAGTGTTCGAGATGGGGAGAAAACGAGCTGATGTGGGGGTGAACCAAAAAGAAAAGTAAATCCCGGATATTTGATTCACGTGACGGCGCTATTTTCTGTTCCCACGCTAGCTGACTCTCGACTTCGTTCAACGAGAATTTGTCTGCCGCAATGGTGCTTTGGTAATCTACTCACCAAAACGGCTGTCAAAATCGTTGTCAACTCCTCAGAACTTGAGGGTTTTTCACTCTTCGAACATTCAAAGCCCGTGTTCATGCACCATAACTCTTGGCTGGTGATCCATCTCAAGTTACATCAATCTGAGACGTGCGCCCTGGACTAGGCCTTTTGGACTTTCGTCAGCTGTGCAAGCGGTGCTCGGTAATGCTCACTGGATCATATGCTGTCGCAGCGTTAGCGAGCTGTTCCGACATCCACCTCGTGGTGAAGCACATTGACCTTGATACACAGACTGGGACAGCGTCCATTCCTAGTTCTTCCTATCATCAGCAACTATGAAGATCTTGCCTATGTGTAATTGGTTTGATGCCATCTGCAAGGCGAAGCACAGCCAAACCGACGTGTAGGAAGGCCAACAGCTCTCGCTTCTCGATTTTTACTCCTTGGCAAGGGCTGCGGGTTGGATAGCACTTGGTTGATGATTGAGTTAGACGCGTAATCCACGACGATATACATAAGTGCGATAGGGGCGTCACGGTCTGCGCTACGTCTGCCCCGACCCCGCCAATGCCGTCTCCGCCTTTGCTTCAGTCGGTCCCCTTGCATCTCGACAGCACACTTGGTGCGTTGATCATAGGTATGCAAGTGCTATCCCTTGCTGAATATCATCGTGTACTGACTCTTTGGATAGCCGAGATTCTGGTAGCAGTGTAAGCGTTACATACACCCTTACTGCGAGTCAGCCAAATGGTGTTCTGATAGATGCGCTTCGTCAGGCTATACGGCATCGCCAGTGTGCAGGTTTATGTGTACCTCCATCATAGCCCGCGCGACAGCTCTTTCATGAAAGGAACTGTGCGTCGCTTTTCATTATTTGCAGTTCATACTTATCAGTGATTCTAGATATTCTTTCTGTGGTAAGTCTTGTGAAATACTGGGCTGATCGACCGCAACACTCACGCATGTCTGCAGGATCCTTGGCAGCCTCCATCTCGTGTTTACCACACATGGCGTATATCATTATGCCGTGACAAGCTTCATGAATCCTCTCGCCTTGACGCAGTGTCCAAGTGTCCATGGTGCGCACTCCGTCTGAGATATTCCGCGACATTTTGCTGATTGTGTCTGTCGTTCAGGAGCTTCGCAGCTGACATGTTTTCTGGTGTAAGTGCTACGTGCGCCAGTGTTCATGATCACACTAACCTTGACACTCTCGAACCAGGACCCAATCGAAGTCACTGTAACCCTGTATGTCTTCTAAGAGGAGTCGTTCTCTTCAAGTGCAATCTGATTTTAGGCGTGCAGCATCTTCGCGTACAAAATCTACAGACGTGCGTAGACGATCGACTACCGACATTTCTAGCAACTCATAAGAACGGGCAGTCGGCGGAAGTATATGGCCACTTGTGCTTATAGTAAGCTAGAGAGAGAGTTCTCACTATGTCAGCATCATTCTGAGGGTATTGCAGATACCGCCGCAACTTCTCAGCTGGGGTAAGTCTTTTTCAGGCTCGTTATTGGTGCTCGAAGCTCACCTGCTATTCTGGCAGTCGCATCCATTGGTACGTAACTTGATTCACGTCTACTGCAACTATAACCTTAACCTGCCGATTAGCCGTTGCTGTACTTGAGTAAGCCCTCCGTTTAGCTTCCCGTCCTTACTCCCGCTCATGAACCACAGACTCAAGTTCCCGAGCTATCACGAGCTGGAGCAACGATTTGCTGTGCGTGAACTGTGTTTTTGACTGCTTCTTAGGTCTGATTCGCATGTGATGCGAAGTGGGTTTGGTATACTGTGTTCGGTCTTCAGGCCTTCTCCGACTGTGCCATCGCGGCTACACTCTGCACGATACTTATCAGGCGTCGCACGGGTTTCAAGCGGTACGTGCGATTACATCACTTCAGTCACTAACACCAAAACCATTCTGCAGGACCGATTCAATTATTCGCACGCTTATTCTTTATAGCATCAGCACTTGTGCGCTGACCAGGTGGGCTGCAACCCACCATCTATATATATATATCAATAATAATCTTCGTACAGTTCTGTGTCCATTGCTTCCGTCATCTCCGTAAGCACCCGAACTCTATGTGTGCATCATTCCGCTAATCCGAGCCGAAGTACACCGCAATGCCTCATAATTTCATCTTCATCGGCTTAGGCGTGTTACTGCCAATGTGTTCGTTTTGTATTTTCAGCTCGCCTTCCGATACTGATGTCTCGGTACAGTGATGTCCAACTCCCTACTCGCATTGCTCAACTCGCGTGACACGTTGCGCGACATGCACGCTGGCCAGGTTGCGTCCGTACACTTCTCAAGACTCGCTGGCGCTCTCAACGACTCCACCTCGCTTGACGGCAGACGAGCGGCTCACGTGCGAGCCGAGGGCGTTAAGGAGCAGGTCCGTCGCTATTATTAGAGTCTGTGCTGCTTATTTACTGCGTTTTCTGTGTAGGAAATCATCATCATTGGGGCTCGTATCCCCGAAGCCTCGTTTGGCTTGGAGTCACAGGTCTCGAGAGGGCATGTGACCTGAACCCTGCGCAAGAATGAACATTTATCGACCTTCTACAGCTTTTGGTTTGTTACTCGCATGTCAGCGCCTTCATAATATGCACGCGATCTATCGGTCCGGTTGCATTTAGCAGCGGGAAGTGTGCTCTGTGATACTGGTTCGACCTCCTGGCGCCGAGTCAACCGGTCTCTTAACGGCGTGCGCGCACTCCGCAGACTCGGGGTGCCCTGGCTCGGCTATGGGTCCTGGGGCGATGGCCCGTGCCAGCGCGAAGTCATCAATGACCACTTACAGGCCGTTCCAAAGAGGCGACGCTCCATCCAATTGCGAGCCGAGAATGCGTCAAGCCGCCACATACCGACGGAGTGCGTTGACGAGTCATGAGGCCTGTAGCAGAATGGATCGCGATGGAGTTTGCCGACGGCGCGGCGCTCGTTCCGTCTTCGTAGACGGCGGCCAGCGCTGTGCAGTCTGAGGAAGTCAGGTGTACTTGGCTGATAACTCTCTAGATGCACCTCCGGGACCTTGATGCAGAGTGTCTGTGGAGGCCTTTGAACTTCGCGAGCATGCCTCTGCGGAAGCTCGAGGGGGCCACCAATGGGAGTTTACCAGGGGAATATACGTCGCAGTGCAGGGTGTAGTAACTCAACGTGTTAACTCAGAATCATGGTACGCAGATAACAAATTTCGTCCTGGAAGTTAGGAAAAGCGAGGTCTACTTCAGATCCTCGACGATAGTATTGCTTATGTAAGAGCAATCCACGTGATCTTCACGTAACGCTCGCGCTACGCTCCTGCCTCCGGGAGGTTACATCACCTCTTATTTCGTGGCAGATTGGTAGTTCGTAGATCACTTCCCCTTGATTCATTTCTGAGTCATTAGTTTTGATTCCACCGGGAAGTACTTATATCGTCAAAAGCGGCATTTTATGTACTTGATGCACGGCAGTGCGAACTTGAGTCCCATCCCACGGGCGCGGTTTGCTTTGGTCATGACCAAAGCAAACCGAACGTGAAAACTCTTGGCTGGCGAAGTTAAACAGTGATTCAGGGATTCTGGACGCCAGACCATCTCAAACTGAGATGTGTGCCCTGGACCAGGCTAAGGCCTTTTGCACCTTCGTCAGCTGTATACGCTGTACCAAGTGGTGCTCGGTATGGCTCACTGGGGCGCGTGCTGTCGCAGCGCTGCGACGAGGGAGGGTCGGTCTGCAGTGTGGGCGTAGCCTTGTGACAGACACATTTATGATGCGTCTGCTCCTTCGGAAGCATCTTCAGCAGTCTGGGCGTGCGATGGAAGCGGAACGCGGACGAAGATACCCAGAAAAAGTTGGCCGGAGCTGCGAACAGGGCTTGTTATTATTGAATAGATACATATTTTCTGTTTCTACTCGTGCGGTCCAACCTTGGTAGTCGACCCGTTAGAGAGCGGCAGTAAGCGATGTTCCAGCGCGGTATGCTGTCCAGCGAGGTAAGCCGTCATCAGAGCCGATCGCGAGACCTTCCCAAGAGCCGTCTTCGAGAACGATTTCCGGGGAAGAGGAAGGACGACATGGGGTGCTTGCGAGCACATCACGATGCAGCACTTGCGAATCGCGCGGTTTGCTTCGCGAATAGCGGCGACATCGATCTCGCTCAGCTCGTCCTCAACATGAATACGGTGCTGGTAGAACACCGCGTACGTGTCGGTATCGCTGTCGGCCAAGCGCACGGGGCAGGCAAACACGAAGGAGCGCATGACGCCGTCGATGCCGCTGTCCTCGACGAAGTGCTCAACGTCAACGCGCGGGTGCTTGACACCACTGATGTTGATCTGGTCCTTGTCCCGACCGACGAGATGCAGATCTCCGCTACTGTCCACCATCGCGCTGTCTCCGGTGATAAACCAGCCGTCAGCAGTGAACGATCCCGTGGTTGCGTCGACGTTGTTGTAGTTCCTTGAGCGCTTTTATCGGAGTTCGAAAATCAGTCTGTACGACCGGGGGCCGACCCCCCTTTCAGATCGGATATCTGTAACCGCGTCCGCTGTTCTGACACAACGGCTCCTTTGACATGCCGGACGTGCCAAGCACGTTTGGATCTGAAATCTATTCTGTAAACCGTTACAGATCCTTACGGGAAGGCATCCATTGATCTGATATTTAGATGGTAGCAAAATGTGTCGGCCTTGTCGAGTCGCGGATCCTGATGAGATGGCTTGCACTGGCACAATATACTCTGCATCGTCTGCGAATGCAAGAGAAGCTACACGCTTGAGGTCTGTCTGGCCTATTGGCTATCTGGGAGCAACTCCACTACTAACAGCAGAGCCTTGCCTTTCATATGGTAGGCGAACTGTTCTGGCCCCCAGAATCAATTTCGAATTTGCGTACTTGAAACTCTGAAAGTACTCTACGGTGGAATAATGAAATTGTGAACCTTCGGTTCTCTCACGCTGTCTCATTTATTGCTATAATCCTCCCACGCCGTGCACTTTTCTCCTATCACTACCTGGTCCGCTCTACTCTATCTTCACAGTAAATCAACAATGCATGGACCCGGCAAAGGCGGACTTGGACAATATCGGCTCTCAAGTTGCCACGTTTGTGCAGGTACGCATCTCTGCAGGATCAAGAACTGTGGATGGCTGAGCCACACGGGACGATTGAGTTAGATGCGTAGTATATGAAAGCATACATATATACGACAGAGGCATCGATGCCTTTGCCCCACCAGTTGTCAAGTATTTGGACTCCGCCAGCATGTCTGATCCCGCCTCACAAGCACCTTCCTCGCCCTCACTTCAGCCAGTCTCCTTGCATTTTGATAATACACTTGGTGCATTAATCATTGGTGCGTAATTGTCGTTTTTCGTCGAATGTTGCTGTGTACTGACTCATCAAATAGCTGAGATCTTGATAGCAGTGTGAGTGTTGCCAAAAGGCTGCCAATCCACCGGGCTTTCTGACATTATTTCCCACATTACAGGCTATACGGCATCGCCAGCATGCAAGTATATGTATATCTTCATCGTAGCTCGGGTGACACTGTCCTCATGAAGCGGACTGTGAGTACCTACAAATTTCCTTGACATATGGCTCATACTCACTGTAACCGTTGCAGATACTCCTCATATGGCGCGTATAGGGAACGTTTGGTTCAACGGCAGTGCTGACACGTATGACCAGGATTCTCGACAGCCTCTACCTCGCGTTCACTTCGCATACTATCTATTACTATGCTGTAACAAACTTCATGAATCCTCTCGCTTTAACAGCATGTCCATGGTACGTATTGTATTCGCTGTGGAATTGCCAACACTACTGAATCATTCCATTGTGACTCAGGACATTTGCAGCGAACATGTTTGTTGGTGTATGTGCCGGTGTTACCTGTTTAATCCACTATGTAGACACTTATGTCTTGAGCTAGGACCTAGTCGAGGTCATCGTGACTTTGTAAGTCATCTTGCGGAGGTTTCCAGTCTTCTGTCAGTCTAATGACGAGAATTCAGGGTATATGCATACAAAATTTACAAACGTGCGTACGCACTTGACTATCTGGGTGGCTGGCAATTCATCGAAATTACCAGTCGGCAGAAGTATACGGCCTCTCGTATTCATTGTAAGCCATATGCTGTCCAGGCACTATCAATGCGGTTCTAAGGGGATTCAAGGTACCGCCTCAGCTTGCTAGCTTCCGTGAGTCTCTTCAGTCAAATTTTTAATGCATGAGACTCACGCGCAGTCTCCTTGCAGTTGGAGCCTGTGGTGCGTTTCATATTCATTCAGAAGTATCTTGGTCGCATTTTTGATCTGCAAATCAGCCATTGGCGCACTTTCGTAAGTTTTTCCAATGCCCCTCGATCTCACTGCTTACACTGATTGGGGCTAGTCTCAAATTTCCCCAGAACTTTAATCTACGACTTGCTGTGCGCAAATTGCTTAGCTTGTCTATCCATCTCAATTCTAAGGCCCATGAAGTGGATTTGGTACAGCTTGTTTAGCCTCCAGGCTCTCACCGACTGCGCAATCGCAACAACACTTTGTGTAATGCTCATCAGGCGCCGTACGGGCTTCAAAAAGTCAGCTTAATCCGTTCTATCAATGACTGCTGACAATTTGGCTATTTTGCACCGTATAGAACCGACTCGCTTATCCGCACGTTGATTATCTACAGTATCAATACTTGTGCACTGTCTAGGTGTGGTTTTAATCATCTCGAACCGTTTCTACCATGCCAACCTCCATATAGTTCAGTCTCCTTTGCTACTGTTATAACGGTAAATACCCTTCCTTTACGCACCCGTGGCACAGCGGCCGAATATTGATCGGACTTGAAGCAAACCGTCATGCCCGACAACTTTATAACCATGGCTTTTGCCTTGGTACTACCAAAGTGTCCGTTTTGCATTCCCTCATTTGCCTCCTGGTGCTGACGCGCTGATACAGTGATGTCGAACTCTTTACTTGCATTACTTAATTCACGTGACACACTTCGTGAAATGCACGCTGGCCAGGTTGTATCTGTACATCTCTCAAAAATCACAGGTGGCATAGATCATCCTGGCCCTTCGGACAGTACTCGACAAGTACATGCGCATGGCAAAGATGCTGAGAACCAGGTCCGTCATTGCTATTGGACATGTTTGTACTCAAACTGACCACGTTTTAACGTAGGAAATTATTGAACTCTCGCCAGCTGCTCGCATTTCCGATGACTCACTCGATTCGGAGTTCCAAGTCCCAAGAGACACTGCAATCTGAATACTGCAGGATGATAAGGCCAAACCATATGTTCAGATCCATTGTTAGTTGCTGTGTTGAGAGCATTCGCAAAATATGGATGTAGAATATAGGCTGGCCGCAATTGATGACAGGATATATTATAATCCACGGTATCGGACCGGCCCCCTTGTGCCGCCTCAACCAACTCACGTAGCCTCATGGCGAGTGCAAGTTATTTTACGTTTCGGGAAGCCGGCTAAATCTCTTATATATTGCAAGACCATTTGGAGGCCAAAGAGCGCGTAGTGAGCAATGAAGCCAGCAATGGGCTCGCAGCGGTGGGGGCTCGTTCGGTAGTGCCGGGTTCAAGTTGCCTTCGCACTTAAGAACTGCTGTCGCTGCCGTCGAGTTCTAAACGATACGCAGACCACCCGAGCATGTCACTTACCAGGTTTCAAAATTGTAGAGACTCTCGCTGCCCTCCACAAGGAAACAGGATACTCTGTCTCCGGAAAACCCAGGGCTATGCGGCTCTTCAAGTTAGTCGGGAGTACGCGAGAAGGCGCCCGCGCGGTCGCTGGTCGGCTTCAGGCAGGTCAAACACATTGAAGCCCAGACCGCATCTTGTGTGGGTAAACCTCCTGCTCGAGAATTTCGGACTCGCGCTCCGCGTCTCACACGTGGTTCTGCGTAAAGCCATATATAGTGAGGTATCTGCGTGAGGCGGCGCGTGCCCGTGCAGCCGCTTGATGAGCTCGATTTTACCTTATCTTTTGAGAGCCTCACCAACGCTCTCGCGTGGCATACGACATGGAGTCAGGCGCACATGGTAAGCGACCGCGCGAATGCAAGCTCGCGACGACGTGGACAGATTTGGTCATGGCAGCTGAGGTCAACACTCAACCGCTTCACGCCTCGCCGGTGTTGTTGTAACCGCTGCGCCCGAACCCTATGCGATGCATGCGCTGTCCGGACGTGTTGCCTTGATAGCAGTAAGGCTTTAATTGTGTTAGCGTTGTATTTGCTGCATACATACCGAGCCTATTGCACAGCGAGAACCGTACATTTAGTTCAGAGAGAACAGAACCTACTGGGCCTCAGAAGCCCGTGGTCTATCGCGTCCAGGTGTGTATGCCCCACACTGCTTAGGACAAGTGGTACGCCACGCCGCTCTGCGCCGAAGAGTTGTGGAAGCGGGTGGCAAGAACGTGTGGCACGATGACGAGGTTGACGCTGTCCGGTTCCATGGAATCCAGCACCGTGTTTAAGCGGTGGTCCGGTAGGACCGAGCATTCTTTGCGGCCTTAAATTCTTCACCGCATAGGAAGATCTCCAAATCGATCACATGCAACCTCTACTATCAGTGCATCCTTTCAGAGCATGAAAGATGCTACCACCGGTGCAGGTACAGCAGTCGAAGACCGCGATGTGCAGGCAGCTAGGTGTGCCCTGTGCGAAGGCGAAAATATGCTGCACATCCACGAAAGCGAAGCTCGGTTGAGCGTAGGTTGCCTCCAATGACTGCGACGGGCCTGAGGTTCAGCGTTAGGAATAGCCGTCATCTCGCGGTCTCTGCGCGCGTAGGCGAGTGCCAGCCCGAACACCTCAGACGTTGCCGATCATGCCGGACGCCACCAGGCTTACACCACCACCCTGATACGGCAAGTGTTGTTCGACGAAAGGCGACGGTAGAATCTGCTTCCTTCACGTCTACGCCCAGGCGGCAGAACAACCAAAGTCCTACACTCTGTTTCGCTCCTACAAGATCGACAGCATGATGCCTCGCCCCGAACGTCTCAAGCGTATCTCAATGCAGCATCTTGCACCATTATCGCGTCTCCGCAATGTGGGCCAGCACGGCAGCAGCCCGGATGCTGCTCATATTGAGCCTTCGTACAGAACACAGGGCGATCAGCTAGACGGCATGATATTTGCCTTGTAAGCATAGCGAGGGATGGGCGTAAGAGGATGACATACGGTCTCTAGTCTGATGAGCGTGTCCGCCGGACGGGACACCGCATGTTGCGCAACCAGATGCACGAGGTTCGTTTGGCATTCTTCGGTTGGAGAGGCGCTCGTTCGAGCGACACAGAGGTAGTCCTGGAGTAGATCAGAGTATAAGCAGGAGACAGCCGGAGTCGTCGAAGGAAGCGGGACTTACGGCGGGGCTGTAGTCTCGTCAAATGCCGGCACCAACAGCGATAGACATTACCGGTACGGATAATGTCATGAAGAGCACGTGAACCTGCGAAAATAAGCTTGCGACTAGAACACCCACACTTGTCAGTGTCATAACATCGATACCTAAAGATGAGTGTGCATATACCCACATATGGCGGCTTGGAAGTCCGTTGCGCGTTCGACGAACGAGGGCGCGATGCAGACAGCGCACGCAAGACCTGCTTGCCTGCGTACTTTTACCCTGCAGTGGCCCTGCATAGCTGGCCAGCTCCTCCAGGCTATGCGTCTGGCCGTCCTCGAGCGTGATTTAGGTCTGCGCGTGAAAGCGTTGTGAGGCCAGAGTGCAGTCGTGCTTCGTGTTTGGGTATGGGGCTTAGAAGGCGCGAGCTGGAGATAAGGTAGTACCATACCGGTAGCCATGCATTGAGA